ATCATTGCCGCCATCAGCAGCTGCCCCAGAGTCCGGCCAGGGCCTAAATGTTCTCTTTACCTCGCTTCCTGACCGTCAAGCCTGTGGATACAGAACTACGTCTAAAAGACTCACAAATGCATGAAAACACTTCTCTGTTTTCAACCCTGAGCCTTTGACATCTGCTCAACAGCTTCACGGTCTAAAGGCCTCTCAGGCCGATGAGTTCACACGGGTCCCAACCTGAGACAAGGGGGGGGGGGTGACTAGTGGAGGACCGGTCTCTGAAGACGCGGGTCTGGCTGGGATAGCCAAGGGCGTGGCATGGTACAGGCATGCCTGAGCACAGCCTCTAGAAACTTACAGGGTGGAGGTGAAGGACAGGGCAAAAGGAGTGGGAAGCAGAGAGGAGGAGGCCAGGAGAGGCAGGAGTGAGCAGCTGACACCGTGCTGCAGAAAGGCGCCCAAAGACCAGGGCCGGGACAAGCTGACCCTCTGCGCGGGCGACTGGCAGCCACATGAAAAACCTGACTTCGGAGAACAGTGCTCAGTGGTGTCAAAACTCCCCCTCTCCTCCACAGCATTTATCACCGCAACGACACACGTGTTAATCCTTGATCCATGGCCTTTCATTGTAATTCCAGAATGGAGATACTGAACAGCTGTAGAGCAAATGAAAGGGCCAAGAGGCCCAAGGAAGAAGGTCCTCTCTGCACACAGGGCAAAGGACTGACTCCAAGAGGGCAGCACGGCCCAGCTGAGCCTTGGCCCATGAAAACGCATGTGCGGAGGCCTGAGGCCACACTCTTCCCATATAGCCCCCCCATCCTCCAGATCGTCTCCAGGCCACCATCAGGGACTGAAGCTTGCATGCCGGCGTGCTATGGACCCTTCACAGCCTGTGGGAGCCGAGAGGACTATTTTCTCCTGTAATGTCCCACTCTCCCCCCTTGCACATTAATGGCTCCTAAAGCTGAGCATGTACTAGGAATGACTGCAGAGCCATTACACTATGGCTTTGGATCCCAGCGTCTGGGTTTGTTTCAGTGTGTTGGTGTCAGAGCCAAGGACTTGCATTTCTCACAAATGCTAAGTGATAAAAGATATGTCCATCTGGCAACCTGCTTCAAGAACCACAGCTTTAGGCCAGGCGCTGGTGACCACGCCTGTCATCCTAACTACTCAGGAGGCTGAGATCTGAGGATCGTGGTCCAAAGCCAGTCTAGGTTGGAAAATCGGTGAGTCTTATCTCCGATTAACCACCAAACAGCCAAAGGTGGAGTTGTGGCTCAAGTGACAGAGCAACAGTCTTATGTAAAAGCTAGGGGACAAGTCGGGCATTGGTAGCTCATGCCTGTAATCCTAGCTACTCAGGAGACTGAGATCTGAGAATCATAGTTCAAAGCCAGCCGGGGCAAGAAACTCCATGAGACTCCTATCTCCAGTAAACCACTCAGAAAACCAGAAGTGGTGCTGTGGCTTAAGTGGTAGAATGCTCACCTTGAGCTGAAGAGCTGAGGGACAGCGCCCAGGCCCAGAGTTCAGGCCCCAGGACTGACAAGAAAGAAAGAAAGAAGCTAGGGGATAGTGTTCAGGCCCTGATTACAAGCCCCAGTACCAGCACACGCGTGCGCGCACACACACACACACACACACACACAGAGCATTTGTGTGATGCTTTTACCTTTGGCCACTGCTATTCCCCTGCAAAGAAACTCTCCATGAATTATAAAATAAGCCGACAGAAAACATGACTTAATTTAAAAACATTTTAAGAAATGTGAAAAGATAACAAAGTAACATTGCAACATTTTCCCCAAAACTGAACTGTAGAGGCCCAAGATAAGAGCGTGGTCCAGGTGGCGCAAGGCAGACACCCAGGGCCATGGAGTCACCACTGAACCTACTTCTTAACTAGACTCACCACGGCCACTCCTTCACGATCTCTGAACCACAAGTTGTACCAGACCCTACGTAAACACATACCATATAGTCTCTCCCTTCCGGGCCAGGGGCTGGGGGGGGGAGTGGGGGTGGGGCAGTCCAGAGAGTGGGTATTATCCATTTATCAGAAGGAAACAGAGAAGAAACAACTGGCCCCAGGCTATCTGGAGAAATGAGCGAGGCTGAAAAGCCCAGAGCTGTCGGCTATGTGCTCACCCATCCCCTAGCTCACCACAGGCTCTGGGGACACACGGCCTGGCTGCTTCTGTGACATGGTGCCAGCCAGAGCCCTGGCCCAGCGCGGCACAGGGTCTGCGAACAGGCTGACGGGGTCTGCAGACGGCCTCAGCCCTGTCCTCCCACCTGGTGTCTGTTTCCCGTAGCTGAGAGCTGGCTCGTCACGGGAGGGGACAAGAGAGCACAACACTCCTACAGCCCTGGCTACCTCACTAGATTCCGCGCACACACACCACGTACTGACTCACTTGAGTGTTCCATCCTGGAAATCCATGCCACTGCTCTGAACAATAGAGAATGAGGCTCAGAGAGGTTAAGTAACACCTAAAATCACACAGCCAGACTCCAAAGTCTGTTTTCTTTTTTGTTTTTGTTTTTTTTCTGGTTCTGGGGCTTGAACTCAAGATTTCTTGCTCTTGTTTGGCTTTTCCACTCAAGGTGGTGCTCTACTACTTGAGCCATACCACTTAGCTTTTTGCTAATTACTGAAGATAAAAGTCTCTTAGATTTATTTGTTCAGGCTGTCTTCAAACCACAATTCTCAGATCTCACCCTCCTGAGTAGCTAGGATTATAGACAGGAACTACTGGCAACCAACCATAAGTCTATATTCTCAAAAGCACCACGTGTTATAATAATAATAATAACTTTTTTTTTTTTGGTCCAGTCGTGGGGCCTGAACTCTGGGCCTGGGCGCTGTCCCTCAGCTCTTCAGCTCCAGGCTAGCGCTCTACCACTTGAGCCACAGCGCCACTTCTGGCTTTTTTCTTTTTGCTTATGTGTTGCTGAGGAATCGAATCCAGGGCCTTACGCATGCAAGGCAAGCGCTCTACCACTGAGCCACCTTCCCAGCCTTATTATTATTATTATTATTATTATTATGGCAAGAAGGAAAAGGAATGAAGCATTTCCTGAAGGCTTTATGCTTTAGCTCCTACTGGAGCTCCATCACCTTCTCCGACCACAAGTGTAGACGCAAAGCAGGAGCTGTGGGAGCGGAGGGCAGGGGCACAGCCGCCGCAGGCCTGGTACCCAAAGCGTCCCCCTCAGCGCAGGCCTGACCCTAAATCCCTCTCAGGCTTTGTCAACGCGGAGCAGGACCGGAGAGAGGAGAGGGCCAGAGGCACAAACAGAGGCACATGGGCTGCAGGCCGGATCGTGTGACCAGTACAGGTACTGTTGCGGTCTTTATCATTGCTTAGTGTAGTTGTTGCTTCTTAAAATACAGCTCCTTTAAAAAGTCTACGACAGTTTGCTTGGTTAATAAGTCTGTACAATGATTTAAATCCAAAAGCAACAATCTACTAAAATGTATTCCCACACTGATTTGCGTAGTGAGTCAACAATTCCAGGGAATTGTAGACAAATTAAATTTGCTTAGGGATGGAAATGGCGCTGTGGGGAGCCTGTCTGCCCTCCTCCTCCCCCTCTCCCCCCCCCCCCCAGCATGCACATCCAGCAGGTCCTCGGCCCCTCGGGGCTTCTCGCGAGGGCTCACTCTGCACCCACAGTAAGCTCCGCAGGGCCAGACCCCACTTCCTCTCTGGGGGACTCAGAGAAAACTCACTATCCTCAGCGAAGGACAGCCAGCTGCACGTCAGCGCTGACGGCAGTACACCCATAGGCCCTGTCGACAGCTTCTTCCTGCTGCTCCTCACCCTCACTCACAGTGCCCAATACCTTCCCAGCCCACAGTGAGGCCCCAGAGCCCAAGAGTCTGGGTCTTCCTCTGCCACTCCCTAGCTGCTGGAGTCAGGGGCAGTGTGTGAAGATAACAACAATCCTCTCTTCTTCCTGGGGTTGCTGGAGTTTTAAATAGACTAGAAATACAAACACTCTATCTCGTAAAGCCAGTGCCCAGAAATCACATGGTACCAGATCCCCGCATGGACATCAAGTGCCAGTGTGGCCTCAAAGAGAAGGCCACGCCTCCTTCCCACTGCCTCCCTGAGGGCCTGTGCCCTGAGGGCCTGTGCACAGATGGGTCTGGAGTACTGCTCCTGAGCACAGGCTCTGCTCTTCCTCTCAGCCGGGGCGGTGCTGAGGCCTAGCATTTGGTTGGTACCAAAGGCTGTTTACTGAATGACTGCCAGGGAAGAGAACCCTGAGGCTACAAAGGAAGCAGTTGGGAGCCAACAACGGGCTCCCAAGATGCTAGGGTAGTAGGTTCGGGTCCTAGGAGGCGGCACAGGACTGCCCACGCACAGAGAACACAGCATCTGGCAGCACCCTCCTCTCCGCTGTCATCCCCACACAGGGAGCCAGGCTGGTAGTGGTGATGCTGCTGTGGCCTGGCTTCGTCCTAAGCCCCAGCCCCCAAGCAGACACAACCTAAGAGTGCGCAAGGGAAAGGGTCTGCGGAGGCTGGAGAAAGCCAGCCTGGCCTGGCCTGCCTGTCCCAGAGCAACACGAAGGGAAAGCTAAGACATCCGTAGGAATACTTTAATATCAAACATAATAAAAATTTGGCGATGAACACATTTCCAAGTGTCATTGGAAACACTGATTAGTTAATGAAGTTACAAATACTTAAAGCTCAGCTTTGACAACCCATCTTTCATATACATACATACATACATACATACATACATACATACATACATATATATATATATATATATATATATATATATATATATATATATATATATATCAAGCTGTCAGAATGAAAAGGGCTAAATTCACTCACATTCTGTCCAGACCTGAGTTTTAGGAATGAGACACACAAGGAATACAAAGAGGTTCCCCACTCCAAGCCTCGGCAAAGGTCACCTCCACACGGTCCACCACAAATGCTGACCCCACACACCAGCGGGACGCTGGTTCCCAGCCCAGTATACCTTTTGTATTCTCTTTGAATCTTTCTGAGCATTCTCTCGGAGTGGAACTTTTCCAAATAACTTCCATCCCAAGTCTCTTTGTCTGTCAAATCTTGCATTGTGTTTTCTAGCAAGCAAATTCCTATAGGAAGAAAATAAAAGGGTTAGGGAGCTTCTGGGTGCTTAGAGAAACAGCAGGACAGCTAAGTCACTGATTAAAAAAAAAACAAGCAACCTTCCTTTCTGAGGTAGGACACGGTGAGTCACCTACTTGAATTCTTCAGACCTGACTTTCACAGAGAGAGAATTAAGCAGCAAGAGAACTAGAAATAAACTTCTTGTTATTCAATGGTTACATGTAAAAATTCCATAATTTAGAATAAGGAAATGTGTTAGTGTATGAGAAAAAGCTATAGCCAAATCAAACTGCACTCTGGCTCAACCATTTAACAAGTTGTATGATGCTGTGACAGTTTCCTGTGTTTCCGTGACCCACAAAGTTGTGATACAAATTGAGGTCTCAGGTTCACAGTGTTCACCATCAGACCCTCTACAAGGCAAATGAGATGGTGAGGTGGTGGTTACTGCGTCTTCTTTTCTGACAACATGGAAACAAAAAGTCCAACTGGCAGTAGGAATAAGCAATATGGAGATGCAATTTCAACTACAGGCGCAATCAGTGTGTGTGTGTGTGTGTGTGTGTGTGTGTGTGTGTGTGTGTGTGTGTGTGTGTGTCTGTGTGTGTCTGTGTGTGTCTGTGTCTGTGTGTGTCTGTGTCTGTGTCTGTGTCTGTGTGATGGGGCCTGAACTCTGGGCCTGGGCACTGTCCCTCAGCTTTCTACCACTGAGCCATCTTCCCAGCCTGTAGGTGCAATCTTTTTAAACAAATAGTCTCTAGGAGTCTCCAGAAGCTCCCAATGAACATGAAGCACCTCCCTGGACAAAAGAAAGTGCTCCAGGAAGACAAAGGCTTGTCCGCTGCGGAGGTCCCACTGCCAAATCTGGAGCAATTTAATCATCAAAATAATGAAAACTGGCACGGGTGGCTCAAGCCTGTAATCGTGGCTACTCAGGAGGCTGAGATCCAAGAATTGCAGCTCAAAGCCAGCCAAGGCAAGAAAGTTGGTGGGACTCTGTTAGTCTAATAAGCTAAACTATAGGAAAGGAGCTTATTGGACTAACAGACTCTTATCTCCAAATAACCACCAGAAAACTAGGAGTGGCACTGTGGCTCAAAGGGGGAGAGTGTTAGCCTTGAGCTCAGGGACAGCAATCAGGCCAAGTTCAAGCCCCAAATGACAAAATAAAAAATAAAAAAAGAGAATGGTGCAGTAAAAAACTCATCAAATAAAACAGAAATCTTTGGGCACAGGAGAGATAAATAAGCAAACATAACTAGTGGAGGAGGAAAAGCTTTGAGAGGCAGGCACTGGTAACATACTACTGTCATGCCAGCACAGTTAGAAGCTGGATGGAAGAGGCCTTTTATTTTTAACACAGCTTAAAAATAACTCCTAAAAATGGTGACTTGCAAAGTCAGCTTACTTTACCCTGGAGAAACTTAGGGGACACCATCTTGTCACAGTGGCAAGAACATGACTAACACACACACCCGGTCGGACACCCAGGGTGAAGACTAAGGAGACACCGAGGCTTGCCAGCACTCAGAGCTCAATTGCAGCGGCCTCTGGACGGGGCAAGAGCCCTGGGAAAGAAGGGGCCCGCGTGTGAGACCCCTTTGCTTTGCACCTCTTCCTCCATCATAGGAGGAGGAGCACTTGCTCTTGGCAGAGACAGTGACTGACTTAAGACAGTGCCAAGGACTCAGAGCCTCAGGCCAGTCTGCCTGGGCAGCCCACCAAGCAGAGCCCACACAGGCTTAGGCCAAACTGTCCACAGAGGGTTGTGGGGGCCACCGTGGACTCAGGGCCACAAAGCCCACCACACGCACACGGAGAGCTCACAGGCTGCTGCCACAGGCTCGTCTTCACTACCTTCTTCTCCCCAGATGCCATTTATCTCCTGCTCCACGGAGGCGGTGGGCAGCCAGGGGCAGGAAGGCTGAAGGGCCATGTTTACTCTGTCCTCTAGGCATCTGCCTCTCTCCAAAAGGGCATCAGCCTTGGCCAGAAGCTCCTGTGCAGGCTGGGACCATGTAGGGGTGCCGCGACACCTGGCCTCCCAGCTGCCACACTTCCTGAGGGGCTCAGCCACATCCAATGACAAAAAGAAGAGTGGCGGGGGGGGGGGGGGGGCAGTCATGGTTTGTAAAAACCTCTGGCCTCTCCCCAGGCTGGCGCCCAACCTCTCCCGTCTGTGACGCACGCCTGCTGGCCTGGGTGCAGCTCCACCCTTTCTCCGGCTGTCCCCTCAATGTACAGTTTCACATCTGCCTCGTGCTGGGACTCTGTCAAGCTCTGGGACTCTGCCAGGCACCAACTGCACCACCTGAGCCACAGCTCAGGTACAAATGGCGCTCAGGGAACACCAGAGACCAAAGCTGCCGCCTCGCTGGAGCCTAAGCAGGTTACAGAGAAGGGACAGTGGAGAGCTGGCCCCGGAGGGTCACTCAGAACGTGGGGTACGGCCTCAGGGGTGCACTACCCATCACCGCGTGCTTCCTAGAGGCTGAGCCTTGCCCCAAGCTGAACGCACAGAGCAGCAGAACCCCAGCCTTTACAGCACACAGGACCAAAGAGCAAGCAGGCCCAGGAGTGCCAAGACCCTCACCCTGCCCCACCCTCAGAGCCACGGCCTCAGTGCTGCTTCCATCCCGATTCGGTTTGACGATGAGAGGAACGCAGTGCGCAGGCCTGCTACCCGCACACCAACCCAGTGCCGTCCACACTGCGGACACATCCACGGTGTCTAGGACCCAGATCATGAAACACACGGGTGAGCCCCAGGAAGCCTAGCAGCTATCTGCCTGCTGAGCGGGGGGGGGGGGGGGGGGGGGGGGGGGGGTGGGAGGGATGGGGGGGGGTGATGCCTTAAAGACCAGAAGATTCTCTCCAGCCTTGAGAGGAAGGGAGCCTGAGGGTTAGGAGCAGCTCCCCACAAATGTGAAGAAAATGCCCCACATCGGTGTGTGTCCATGAGGAGGCGGGGCCGGTTGTTAGTGCCCTTGCCTTCAACTGCCTCCTAGAGCCACTGGAACAGGGTTCTCCAGGGACAGAGAGTGAGGAGACAGCCACCCGCACAAAGCTGGAGAAGCGGCTGGCAGGGCGCACAGGCCCAGTGCTCACTGAGAGTCCACACACAGGGCGGCACAGCCCTGCTGCGGGATGCACAGAGGTCAGTCAGCATGACCTGCCCTGGGGAGCTCAGAGCCCAGCAGCAGAAGCCGGCCCAGCCACGGGGCCAGCTCACCCTTGCAGGGGGCAGCGTGGCTTACTAACCACAGGAGCACTGGCCCAGCCCAGCAAGAGGCAATCAAACCAGACCTGCAAAGCAGCCAGCACCCCCTGACTTTGCATGACCCAACCTCAGCAACACGCCCTCCTCCGAGGAGCACAGCGACGCCGAGAGCTGCTCTACTTCTACCGCCAGCCTAGAGCAGGTGCCAGCAAGAGGACCCAGCTTCAGGGGCCGCCACCCCGGACCTTCATGCAGCAAACAGGTGCCATAGTAGGCTGGCAAGTTCCACCTTCACTTGTTCAAACACATACTGACCTAGATAGCAATTACCTGACCTAGTGCATGTTGACCCCACGGGCACTGCTCCAGGACAGAGTTCCTGCTCCAGACAGTACCCTCAGCTCCCAGGTGACAGCCTGGTAAGGTGGCACATTCCCTAGGCTGCCCCCTGAGACGCATTCCAGGCAAGGCCAGCACGCAAAGGAGTGTGCTGCAGTGGACGCGGCCCATGGGCGCCTCCATTTCTTCCTGGTATGAATGCAGAACGGCTGGCCTTCACCCTCAAGGGGGCACATGCAGCAGCATGGATAGCTGCGGCCCGCTCCTGCTGTCTCCAACTCCTGAGGAACAGCCGGGCCGGCAGCAGAGGGGACATGGGGGGGAGGGGCAAAAAGGCAGCAAAGACCCCTGCTGGGAGAGCTTGCTACCCACATTCCTGCATCCTCTGCTTCCAGCAAATCGAGGGGTGAGGCAGAATGGGCCTTCCTAGGGGGAACTCCTGAGCCCACCACACTCCCTGTACACCCATGCCAGCAACTCAGACTCCTATCTGCATCAAGAAAGCCACAGGGTCACCTCCTCCTGACACATTTGGCTGAAGACCACCAGCCACACTGGCGCTGCTCGGGGGTGAGGAGGAGTCACTCGCAGACCACGGGCTACGGCTGTGCCAGCTGTGCCCTCTGCAGAGCAGCAGCCCAGGGCCAGCGACTTTCCCCACAAAGCTTGTATCTATACATGGAACTCACTTCTCCCTACGGCTAACGCACGTCTCCTGCAGCTGTGCTGCGCAGCCCTGGGCGGGGGCTGCTCAGAGACCACAGGCCAGCAGCCCACATGTTCTAGCGCCACAGTGTGAACTATTTGTCAAACATTTTTTCAATCTAGCAATCATGCAAACCTGGGTTTCTGGCCTATCGAAGTATCACAATGGGCCAAACCTGCAGGACAGTAAGCCAGCACCGAGCTGCAGTGCAGTGGGTGCTCTGTCCCGTACAGCCCTTCACTCCATGCTTTGCTGCATCTGTGATGCCAACATCTCCCGATCTGGGTGCCAGGGAGGCCACTTTAAGAATTTAGGGAATCTGGGCTGGGAAGGTGGCTCAGTGGTAGAGTGCTTGCCTTGCATGCCTGAGGCCCTGGGTTCAATTCCTCAGCACCACATAAGCAAAAAGAAAAAAGCCGGAAGTGGCTCAAGTGGTAGAGCACTAGCCTTGAGATGAAGAGCTGAGGGACAGCGCCCAGGCCCAGAGTTCAGACCCCATGACTGGACCCAAAAAAAAAAAAAAAAGAATTTAGGGAATCTAAGGGGAAACAAAAAAAGCTTATGAACACAAAATCGGGGACACGTGAGGGCATTGGCAGCAGAGGCTGTGTGTCCAGAGGACGAGACGCCAGCAGGGCTCACAGGCCAAGTCCCTGCCACACAAGGACAGTGTCACCGCCGGAGAGGAATGCCTTTCCCTCTTGATTCCAACAACTGAGATGCTCTCTGACAACAAAACACAGCAGTGCCGCACCTGGGTCTGGGCTACCAGGGCGACACAGCACCTGCTCTACAGGCGCTCACCGAAGGCAGGGTACAATGTCTCCTGTGCCTCAGAGGCCGCCTTTGCCAGGGTGCCAGGCTCCGGAGGTCACGCCCTGCTCCCGCCACTTACTGCAGAGGACGCAGTGCCTACAGCAGGCCTTGGCACACATCCAGCACTCAAATGTGTGCAACCAAAGCTTTTCCAAGGAATCCCCTGCAACTGGAGAACAGCTGTGCCCCGTGAGATGCAGAGCTGCTGGCAGAGCTGGTGGGTAAGCCACAGGGAACGTGCTGTGGCAGGTTCCGCCAGCCACACACTCCTCAGGGGTTTCTCAGCAATCCTGTGAGTCTAAGAATGAACCTCAGAGCCCTCGGCCTCAGGACACCACACACCTGAGCCCCGAATCATAATTACTTGGAGTTTCTTGCTCTTTTCCTCTTTAGTCTCGTGTACAGCAATGTTTGCAACTTGATCAGACACAACCTGAACAGACCATGAGGTAACTTCTGGACCATCTTCTAAATCCTAGCTACAGGTCACCTGCCAGGCCTGACTGCACCAAGCACTACTCATCAGTCGACAGCCTCCTCCCAACAACCCTAGGAGAAAGGCACGCATAGCCCAGGAAGAAGTCACCGAGCCTAGCATCTATCTGGGACAGAGATGGCAAAACCAAGAGCAGGCCAGGCACCAGTGGCTCACGCCTGTCACTCTAGCTGCTCAGGAGGCTGAGATCTGAGGATGGCAGTTCAGAGCCAGCCCAGGCAGGACACTCTGTGAGACTCTTATCTCCAATGAAACACCAGAAAACTGGAAGTGGTGCTGTGGCTCAAGCGCCTTGCTTGAGCTGAAGAGCTGAGGGACAGCACCCAGGACCAGAGTTCAAGCCCCATAACCGACCGGAAAAAAAAAAAAAAAAAAAAGCAAAAGCAGTTCCTGGCAGGCCCGTTTGTGATATCTGTTTCTACCCCTGGAGCTGGACACGTGTCAGCCTCTGTCTTTTCCCTGGAACAAAGGTTCCACCTCACCCATCACAGAGAGGCCAAACAAAGCTGAGCTCTTCACAGTACAAGTCCTGTGTGATCAGATCCTACCAGCTCCCCAGGAACTAGGAAGTGAGAATGACACTGAGATCTTTTACTGTGAAGTAAACACCAGACACGCACATACACAAGCACCAGCCCAGAGACCCCTGGCCCCAGCAGGGATCTTGTCACACCAGAGGGAAAAACTGCCTGACCAAGGGCAACAGGTGAAATCAAACCAAGAAGTAAGGCAGCAGCCATAGCACTAGAACCCACCTGTCCATGAACAGCAGGAGTGCGGGAGAGACAGCCATGGTGTCTGCTGGGACCGCGCAGCTCTGGGGGGCCGGGGTGCTGGGGTGCCACTCTACTGGTGCCACATTCCTGGCAAGTCACAGTGCCAGGGACAAGCTGGGAGCCTTCCTCCCGCCCACAGGGCCTGAAGGTGAAGGCACACAGAATGAAGATCGGCTGGAAGGGCAGGGGCGGGGCCAAAGAGGAGGGGCAGAGGAGCCGGGTGCCCCGGTTCCTGGGCCAGAGTACAGCTCCCACAGTCTCTAGCACAAGCTGTGATAGGATGGGCACACTGGTCACGACGCCCACTGGCACCTCCCACTGGGAAGCAAGGCAGCATGGCACCAAGCGCCAGCCCCACCACGCCTGTTAAGTACATACCGCGCCACGCAAGCCATTGCACAGGGGAGTAGGGGGTGGGTCACACACATGGTCCAAATGCCCACAGAAGCCCCACTCCCAGGTGCTCCCTCGCTCACCACTGCTTTAAAAAGCAAAAGCAAAACAGATTGGGAGCACAGGCCCACATCTGTAATCCCAGATACCTGGGAGGCAGTGATGGGAGAATTACGGTTCAAGGCCAGCCAGGAAAAGTTACCCAGCCCCTAGGTGAAAGAACATGAAAGGTGAGGCAGTACCCACTTGTGATCCCAGCTACACAGAAAGTACAGGCAGGAGGATCGCAGACTGAGGCTGGCCAGAACCCAAAGTGCAAACCATACCTGAAAAATAGTTCAAGCAAAAACAGCTAGAGATAGGGCTCCAGTGTAAACAGCTTTCCTGGCCAGCCCAAGACTCTGTGTTCAAAGTTCAGTATCACCAAAAACAAAAACAAAAAGAAGACCTCACTAGTAAGTTCAAGCCCAGCAAAATGATCATTTTAAGAACACCTGCAGTCTACAGACCAAAAATGACCCTAGCCAGGGCCTTTGTGTTCCCAAGTCAGCTCCAGGGCTCCTTAACAGAGAAACCCTGTGTCCCTGTGCTTGTGTGCTAGGATGGCCAGCTAGGATGGCTGGGTGTGGGAAGAGAAGGGGATGGCTGCCAGGCGTGGGCAGCTCTCACGGGTAATCCTACTCAAGCAGCTGAGAGCTGAGGATCAAGGTTCAAACTTAGCCTGGGCAAACAAATCTAAGAGACTCTTACTCCAATTACCCAAAAAACATGAAGCAGAGGTGAGGCTCAAGTGGTAGTAGGTCAGCCTTGAGTAAAAAAGCTAACCAAGAGTTTGAGGCCCTGAGTTCAAGTCCCAGTGTGTGTGTGCGTGTGTGCGCACATATACACACATACACACAGAGGACTGTTACTGCTACTTTACACATTTCTGAATTTATATACATATGTGTATATATTACTCATAGTTTTTTTTTTTAGTCAGTGGTGGGGCTGGGTGTTCCCTGAGCTCTTAGGCTCAAGGCAAGCGCTCTATGACTTGAGCCACAGCACTACTTCTGGTTTTCTGGTGGTTAATTAGAGATAAGAATCTCACAGACTTTCCTGCCTGGGCTGGCTTCAAACCATGATCCTCAGACCTCAGCCTCCTGAGTAGTAGGATGACAGGTATGAGCCACCGGCACCCGGCTTATAATTTTTTTTTTTTTAATGATAATCAGTAGAGACAAGGCTGGCTCAGGAGCAGTGCTGTCCATCCATACAAGTAAGTTCGATTAATCGGCAGAGAAAATTTGAGTAGAACTCTGTGGGAACTTAAGACAGGGAAGCACTTCGTGGCTTCCCAGCCCATGGTAAGAGACCAACACAGGTCTTCCTTTGGCTAGAACCAAAAGGAAAGTTCCAGCCTATGCTCATGAATGTAGACATAAAAGTCCCCAACAAGGGGCTGGGAAGGTGCTCAGTGGTAGAGTGCTTGCCTTGCATACCTGAGGCCCTGGGTTCTATTCCTCAGCACCACATAAGCAAAAAGAAAAAAAGCCGGAAGTGGCGCTGTGGCTCAAGTGGTAGAGTGCTAGCCTTGGGCTGAAGAGCTGAGGGACAGCGCCCAGGCCCAGAGTTCAGGCCCCACGACTAATGAAAAAGGAAAGAAAAGAAAGATTGGGGGCTATGGTGGGGGGAAAGCCCACCTGTAATCCTAACTATTTGGGAGGCAGTGGTAGCAAGATAGCAACCTAAGACTGGCCCAAGCCAAAGTATGAGACCCTATCTGAAGAGCAAAGTAAGAAAAAACAATGAACAAGGCAGAGCTCAAGTGGCCCTGAGCTCAAGCCAAAAAGAAAAAAGCCCGAAAGAAATTTTGATCACTAAGAAAACAAAACAAGGCTAGTCAATGGCTCAAACCTGTCATGATGTCTAATTTGAAGACAAAGACAAAGAGTATTGGAATTCAAAGCCAGCCTAGCCAAAAGGTTAACAAGATTCCATCTCAACAAACAAGGTAGGTGTAGTGAATTATGCCTGCAATGTCAGCTATGCAGGAAGTGTGGGTAAGAGGCCTGTAGTCCAAAGCCAATTCAGGAAAAAGAGGGCAAAAAGCAAGATACTATATGAAAAATAACAACCTAAAGCAAAAAAGGCTGAAGGGTTAGCTTTTGAGCACTTGCTAGTAAATGTAAGACTCTGAGTTCCAACCCCAGAATAATTAAAAAAAAAAAAAAGAGACAGATGATAGACAGACTGACAGATGATAGATAGATAGATAGATAGATTGATTGATTGACAGATGATAGAAACATACATACATTCTGTGGGTATACTCAATATACACACACCTGGAGAGGACTTGTACTGCGAGTACAAGTGGGAAGCAGTCCAGCCCTGACAAACAGTTGAGCAGCATCTACAAGAGCAGACTCTGAAAGTGCACCCAAGCATGTATGTGCGGAGGACTATGATCCATCGGCATGGTCCTTCCCCATGAAAATGCCCACCCCCAGGACACAGTGGTGGGCCCGAGAGTATACTATATGGTTCCACTAATCTCAGGTCCAAAACTGAAGAGAGCTGGGTCTCCGCAGTCAGGTGGGCAGGCCGGCGGAGCCCTGGAGCCCTCGGCACACAGATGGGGAAGGCAAGCATTATCAACTCTAGCGATCTCCTCTGCAGCCAGGCTTGGCTGCCCTCCCCGCGTCCCAGGCTCCCAAAGCACTTCCGCCTTCCTCTCCGGCACGGCACTGGCACATTGTGTTTTACCGCCCACCTCCCACAACCTGCTGCCGAGAGCTATGCCCACTTAAGTCTCTGTGACCCCCACCCCCCAGGCCCAGCACAAAACCTACTGGCAGCACTGCAACCACAGGTCATTCATTAACTAACCCTGAATCAACTCCTCTACCAGTCTTTCACCCGTCCTTATCAAGGCCCCCTGTTCTTTCTCCCTCCCCCACCTCCTAGCGTCTCCCCAAACACTCCTCTCATGTAAACACAGGCAGGAGACGTGTGGGGCTTGGGACCTACCATCTGCTGGGTGTTCTACAAGAAGAGAGAAAAGGTAGACCAAAAATATCTAGGTAACTTAATATGAAACATTACTGAGGCAAAATACGAAAATATTCTTAATTTCCAAATAAATACTGAAAAAAAAAAAAGAGGAGAAGGAGACAGAGCCATTAAGAGGCTGGAGGCCCATAGGACAGCGAACACCTTCCAGGGAAGGAACATACTGTGTCCCTTCATCCCAGAAACCCTGAGGAGTAAAGATCCGGACCCCAGCGTTGAGAGCACAACTAGAATCCAGGCGCTGTGGTTCACACATGTAATCCTAGCTACTCAGGAGGCTGAGATCTGAGGATTATGGTCCAAAACCAGCCAGGCCAGGAAAGTCTGTGAGACTCTTATTTCCACTGAACTACAAAAAGCCAGAAGTGGAGCTCAAATGGTAGAGCACTAGCCTTAAGCACAGAAGTTCAGGAACAGGGTGCTGGGAAGGTGGCTCAGTGGTAGAGCGCTTGCCTTGCATGCATAAGGCCCTGGGTTTGATTCCTTAGCACCACATAAGCAAAAAAAAAAAGAAGTTCAGGAACGGTGCCCAGGCCCAGAGTTCAAGCCCCAGGACAAGGAAAAAAAAAAAAAAGTGTACCTGGAATGTGGACTCCAGCAGAGCACGGCTCAGGTGCCAGCTCTACCTCCCACTGCCAGGGCTTGGGTCCGCCAGGGTTCCGTATTAATAAGTAACACGAAGGAAGGGCAATTTATTAACCTCAAAACACCAAGGGTCTCATCTCAATGTTATCCACATTCAGATATGCTGTTTACTCAGTAAATACTCCCTGAGAATCAACTGCACCCTGGGCACTGCCACACCTCGGGAGCACCACCATTGAAAGGTAGGGCCCCTTCTTAAGTAACGTAGGTAAGCCTCCATCCTTCATGATGTTCTCAAAGATGGGGAAATTCCAAGATTTGACCTTGTCTGACATCATGCCACAAAGAGAAAGCTGGAGCTGGACTTTACTCCGAAAGAGAAGCTGGAGCAAGTGGGTCTGCTCTCAGGAGCGTTGGAAATCCTGAGCCCACGTCTCAGCCCAAACCAATTACCATCAACTTCTGAGGGCAGCACTTATCAACAGGTGGTTGATAAGTAACTTTATTTGTGTTTTTTTTTCTTTTTGGTGATACAAGAGTACAAACTCAGGGCTTGCTAGACAGGTGCGCTACCACTTAAGTCATGCCCCCAGCCCTTTAGGCTCTGGTTATTTATGAGATAGGGTCTCACTTTTTGCCGAGGCCAGCCTGGACCACATTCATCCTAATTATATTTCCTATGTACCTAGGATAGCCAACACAGCACCACGCCCCTCTTTTACTACAGAGATGGAGGTCGTGAGAACTTTTTGCCCAAGCTGGTCACAGTCCCCCCAATCTCAGACTCACAGCGCCTCAGATTACAGGCATGAGCCACCATGCCCAGCTTGTTGCATTTTTTTCAATGCTGAGGACTGAGCCAGGCCTCACACATGCTGGGCAAGAGTCCTATCACTGAGCTTCTCCCCTAACATGAACTGCTTAAAGCACCCCAGAAACTCTACTGTGCAGATCTTTGCTCCTTAACCAACAGATGGATTCCTTCTTAAACACCTCATTTCTTTTTTTTTTTGTTTGGGTCCGGTCATGGGGTCTGAACTCTGGGCCTGGGCGCTGTCCCTCAGCTCTTCAGCTCAAGGCTAGCACTCTACCACTTG